AGACATCAACTTTTCCCTGCTTTTGGACTCAAACTGAAACATTCACATTTCCTTTTGTCTTATGCTTGCTGGCCTTTGACTGGACTGTTGGGTCTCCTGCTTATCAGTCCTTCGGACTAGGACTAGAACTATACATCATTGGCTCTCCTGGGTCTCCAGCTTGCCAACTCACCTCACAGATCATGGGTCTTGTCAGCCTCCATAATCACATGAGTCAATTCTTTATAATAAATCATATATGTATCTCTTATTGGTCCCATTTTTCTGGAGAACCTTGACTAATATACCATCTAAGAAAGACAACTGGACAACTGTCCCATTAGTATTGAGTATACACAGTGTATCTATTCAAATACTAGTTTCTGTCAGATTATAAAATAACAGATGTAGCCTCTATACTTTGAGAATCTTACAATAAAAAATAACCAAAGGACCCTACAACAAAAAACAATAAATGCTTATGTAGCACACAGATGGTAAAAAACAAAGTCACAGAACACAGGTTCATTTGCTCAAGTAGTCAGTCAGTCAATGAATAGTGATAGGCATTGTGCTAAACACCAGGAATACAATTACTTCCACAAGAGGTGTGGGACTTCTGTTACACGGGCAAACCCTGCATCAACAAGAGTGCCCCATGGGCACTTTAGCCAAGGTAGGGAAGGTTTAATAGGGGTGAGAGTTGACATTTTGTATGTGAAAAAATATATAATAACACAAAATTCACCATTGTAACCATTTTGTGTGTACAGTTCAGAAGTATTAGGTACCTTCACATTGTTAAGCAACCAGCCATCTCCAGAAAAATTTTCATCTTCCCAGACAGCAACTCCATACATACCATTAAACACTAACTCCCCACTTCTCCCTTTCCCTAGCCTCTGACAATCACTGTTCACATTCCGTCTCTGAATTTGACTACTTTAGGTACTTCATATACATGGAATCATACAATGCTTGCTCTTTTGTGTCTAGCTTACTTTGTTTAATATTATGTTTTCAAGGTTCATCCATATGGTAGCATATGTCAGAATATCCTTCCTTTTTTCCCTTTTTAAGACTGAATAATATTCCTTGTATAAATATACCACATTTTGTTTATCTCTACTGCCTTTAATAGACCCTTGAGTTGGCTCCATTTTTTGACTATTGTGAATAATGTTGCAATGAGTAGGTGTAAACATATTTGTTCAAGTAGAACATTGGAATTGAGCCCAGGGATAAAGAGAATTCCAAAAGTAACATAAAATGGAGAAGGGCTTCTCAAAGAAATGTGATCATTCATAACACATTTCAGGAACTTCCAGTGGTTCACTATGGCTATTCCTGTGGGAAATGATAGGAGATGAAAGATATATAGGCAGGGACTAGATCTTGAAGAGAACTTAGATGTTTATACAAATGCCCATCGGAGGAAACATGCAGATATTTTAAGAGGCTAGAATTAATACCTTACTCTATAACTAGACTTAAAACCAAGTCTCCGATATAGGGTGATAAGGATGTAATTGGTGTGGTAGATAATCTCCCAAGATGATCTCCAGTGATCTCTGCCTCTGATATTAATTCACTTCCTACACTAAATAGAGCTGACTTATCCAACCAATAGGATATTGTGAAAATGTGAATGTGTGGCTTCCAAAGCTAGGTCATAAAAGACATGTGGCATCCCTCTTGCTCTCTGTTGGATCACTTACTCCAGAGGAAGCCAGCTGCTATGTGGTAAGGACACTCACCTTGCCCTTTGGGGAGGTTTCCATGGCAAGGAAATGAGGCCTTCCACCAGCAATCAGCACTAACTCATGAGGCATATGAATGAGCCACGTTAGAAGTGGGTCTACCAGGACTAGTCAAGACCGTGATCAGACATATTGAGTTAGAACCACCTGGCTAAGCTTCTCTAGCTCTCCTGACTCACAGAAACTGTGTGATATGATAAATATTCACTAGTTTAAGTCACAAAGTATTGGGGTAATTTGTCACTGAACAGCAGTTAACAACTACATGTGGTCAGATCGTTGTCTATACCCCAACAAACTTGTCCATTTTTTTGTCCTCTGGATGTGGCCTGGGATTTCTCTCCTATTTCCCATCCTTTTTCACACTTTTCTCTCCACTTGCAATGCCCATCCCCCATGTCTGCCTAGGGGAACCCTGCTTTCAGTTCCAAGAACTGGTGAAGTCATTCCTAATTCTCCCTAACTGAACATAGTCTACCACACATCAGATGGGCCTTCAGTATTCTAAAAGTTACATCAATAATAAAACCAGAGATGGTGTAAAGCAAGTTGCTCAAAGGATACAAAATCAAATTAACATTGTGGAGGAGGTATGGGCTAATTCCTGACAGGTGACACACGACTCAAACCAGACAATCAGTACATCAGACAGCACGGCACCCTTTCCTTGATCTATTCTCCACCCAGTGAATAGTACCTGCCAACCAATATCACAGAGATTTCGGGATTCTACTGTGAACAGTATTTTGATATGGGCTTGACAATTCAGAACTCTCCTGAAACAGGTATTTTTGCTTCTCCTTCCTAATTCCAATATGAGTAACAACAAATGTAGCAAGCTAATACTCAGCTCTCAGTGCAGAGGAGCCTGTTAATTTGGAGCTGTGGCAAGAGAAGGAAGCAGGAGCCTCCATCCCTTTTTCTCCAGCTTTAGTTCCTTGGTGGAATATTTTTTCTGTGGAAGCAATGTCCAAACTGAATGTGGCTGCTGGTAGACAGGTGGCAAGGCTCACCCACATTGGGTGGACTGAGCTGAGTGTCTTGTTGAGGGGGAAGAGTTATGATGATTACAATGGGTCTCAGGGCATTATTCTGGAAGAAGGCAAAGAAAGGCCCATTGTAGCAACCTCGGGACATCCATAGCTCAACCATTTTATTGACCTTCTATCCTTTCTCTGCTTTCTAAAATTGCTTTAGAAATTGCGGATGTGTTCCTCACTAATCCATTTTCCCAAGTTTATACCATTATAAATGTCAGATGATTTCTACTTATTTAATTTACTCATAACACCCAATTCCTAATTGTTTCAACTCCTTTGCCTCGAGAAGCACAACTCTGAAAGTCTTCCACCCTACATTAGCAGCATCAGTATCTCCAATGTAATTACTCGAAACCATACCTGATAAATATTTTAAGCTTAACTTGTCTTGTGCAGAGGCAACACAGTCATGGCAGCACCTTACAGGTAATATCTCACTCCCCAAAATTTTTCTCCTCTTGTCTGACTGGGCATATTCTGCCTCATTATTATTTGTGTGTTAATCATGTTTTTAATATTAATTCAAGCTTTCTTGAACAATGAAAATTCACATTCTACCCTATTTTTATTCCTGCCAGCACTTTGCCCTATTTCTGGTCAGTAATAATATTGGTTAATATGTACTAGTTTTTAATGTACTAGACATTGTTCTAGGCACTTTACCTATATTAACAGACTTATAGCTAGCTCACTACAATCCTTAAAGAGATATATAGTTATCATCCTCAGTTCACAGAGGAGAAAACTGAAGACCAGAAAGGGTGTATATTGCCCACTCAAAATTTATTTAAAAAGCAGTTTCAATGCAAACAATTCTATTTCACAACCGATTTTGTAAGGTAATATGCAATATTGTCTCTCTGGTAGGTTCTTTAAAAACTTTTTGTCAAATAAATGTTATTGAGTGGACTAAATTAAATTAAGGGAGAAGAGCTTTTTCAATAAATACCAATAATTTGTCAAGGAGGAACTTCTGCCTGGTAGATATAGAGAATAAATTAGCACTATTTAAAACATGGCCTTCATACCTTATTTGTGCTAGTTAATCCAGTGAGTCATTTTCCCCCTAAGGCTTGCATATTTATCTTATTTACTTTAAGACATATTGCCAAATATTTCCTCTGCAGCAAATATCACACATCACTCACTTTATTTTTGCCTATGTTAGTCTATTTTATGATATTTCATTCCATTGGTATATATAGTCTCCCTTAAGAAAGCTAAGAATGTTTAACCAGGAAAGAGTTAAAAAAGCCCCTGACTAGAGTTACTGGTTAATAAAAGAGCTATTCCATCCCGAGAAACCTACTCTAAACTGAGTCTTAATAATTGACTTAATAATGGGTGATAGAGATGTGGATACAAAGAGTGTGAATATGCTTTTGTTGATTTTTCCACTTTCTCTGATGCTCTGTTTGATAGCCAGTATGACAAATTACATAGATGCAGTCATAATGGTAAAGAAAAAAGAAGTGCCATTTTGACAATACTAACAATTACCAAATCCCATCATGTGGGGCCTGTCGAAAGGACTATAATCCCATGAAAATACAAATTTTATCTGCACACTGTTTGAACTCCAGGATTTCACCCCATCATTAAACCAACTCAACTGCACAAACCGAGCCATTTGCAATTGTGATAAGAACCAGAGCAGAAGTGTTTCTGGACCAAAGGGACAGTCCCTGCCTCGGTGTGCTCTGAGTGTGTTGGCCTGCATGAGACCTCTGCTCCTTTGTCTTGCCAGCAACTGAGTTAGGACAGCCTAGTTCATAGTTCATCTGCTCTGAGCATACATTGAAAGGAACCAGCGGGCCAGAAAGCCCTTGTTCAGGAGCTAGGGGGAAGGCCAGCCGTGAGGTTACTAGTCTGCTTCCCCAGCTCACAGGAAAAGGGAAGTGTCTTTGCAAGGAAGCAACACACTCTCCTCATAACAGGGTCATGGCTTCCAGTTTAAGCAGGTTTAAATGTCCACCTGTGTTTGTAAATCCTCTAAAAGAACGTGACTTTAAAATCACTCCAAATTTTTAAAACATTTATAAATGGGCATCTGTGTTTCAGGAGCTACCTTTACAAAAATACTCTGAGTGTACTTTCCCATAACTAGTACTTTCAGTACAGAATTTGATTTACAAACCCTAATTCATAATCTAAATCTAAAAATTCCACAGAATGCATACAGTTGAGAGGGAATAAACACTTACTTTAAACACATTTTGTAAATAACGCAGAGTTTTCCATATCTTAATTAAGTGGGTAACTTCTGACTCCAGGCTTGCTTTTCTCCATAATGGAAGTGGCTGTCAGAGATCAGTGACAACTCAGAAGGCGAGGCACCTCACCGCCTGGAATTTAAGAGATCCACTTTTAATCTCAACATAATATGAACAGCACTAAAATCTGTACAATATTAGATTTGAATAATAACATAGAGTGATTATCATGAACAAAAAATAATAGTTATTAATAATTGCAGTTACTGCTAAATTGGTTTTATCCCTGACCATCTCACATTTACACCAAATAAAATATGTTAGGTTTCAAGAAGCAAGTTATAATGATAACACCATAGCAAAATCTTTGAAGGATCTTATACCATACAGTCAATATTTTGTTGTTCAGATAATAGCTGCCATATTACTATGTGTATTAACATAGAATGCACCATTTCTCCAGTCTAGAGATAGTTTAATATGAAGATGGTAGCTCTGCCCCCTCCTACCAAAATTCTAAAGGTATTTCCCTGTTTAAAAAATAATAATTAGACTTCCTGCCAAGATGGAGGCATAGGTAGAGATGCTTTACCTCCTCACAAAACCAAAAAAGGACAACAACAAATTTAAAAACAAAAAATAACCAGAACTGCCAGTAAATGGAACTATATGGGAGTCCGACCACCAAGGAATGAAAGAAGAAACATTCATCCAGACTGGTAGAAGGGGAGGACTTGAGGCAAAGCAGCAGCTGGAGGACCATGAGGGTGAGGTGGTGGCTGGCAGACTGGATGGTCTCACATTCCCGTGTGGATAAACTGGGAGGAACAACTGGGGAGTGAGACAGACTGCACAACCCAGGGTTCCAGTGTGAAAAAAATAAAGACTCAAAACCTCTGACTGAAAAAACCCGTGGGGGTTGAGGTCACAGGAGAAACTCCCAACCTCACAGGAGAGTTCATTGGAGAGACCCACCCAGATGGGAATGAGCACCAGAAGGGCCCAATTTGATTGTGGGTAGCAAGGGACGTGACTAAAAGCAAGCCCAGAGCTGAGCAAGCGGCATTGTTCCCTCTCGGACCCCTCCTCCACAAAAAGCCTACAGCTCAGTAACATTGTTGCCCTGCTTTGGCAAATACCTAAGGCTCTGCCCCTTACTACATAACAGGTGTGTGAAGAAAAAAAACAGGGCCCAAATGAAAAAACAGATCAAAGCTCCAGAAAAAAATAAAACTAAGTGATAAAGAGATAGCCAACCTATGAGATGCAAAGTTCAAAACACTGGAAATCAGGATAATCACAGAAATCACTGGATATGGTTGCAAAATGGAGGAAAAGTGAAGGCTATGAAAAGTGAAATAAAGAAAAATGTACAGGGAACCAACAGTGAAGGGAAGAAAACTGGGACTCAAATCAACAGTTTGGAGAAGAAAGAAACATTCGACCAGAAAAGAATGAAGAAACAAGAATTCTAAAAAATGAGGAGAGGCTCAGGAACCTCTGGTACAACTTTGAACATTCCAACATCTGAATTGTAGGGGTACCAGAAGGACAAGAGGAAGAGCAAGACATTGAAAACTTATTTGAAAAAGTAATGAATGAGAACTTCCTCAATATGGCCAAGGAAATAGACTTCAAAGAAGTCCAGGAAGCTCAGACAGTCCCAAAGCAGTTGGACCCAAGGAAGCACACACCAAAGCACATCAGAATTACATTACCCAAGATTAAAGATATGGAGAGAATCTTAAAAGCATCAAGAGAAAAGGACACAGCTACCTACAAAGGAGTTCCCATCAGACTGTCAGCTGATTTCTCAAAAGAAACCCTACAGGCAAGAAGGGGCTGGAAAGAAGTATTCCAAGTCATGAAAGGCAAGGCCCTACATCCAAGATTACTCTATCCAGCAAAGCCTTCATTTAGAATGGAAGGGCAGATAAAATGCTGCCCAGATGAGGTCAAATTAAAGGAATTCATCATCATCAAGCCCTTACTATACAAAATGTTTAAGGACTTATTGAAGAAAAAGAAGATCAAAAATATGAACAATGAACAGTAAAGTGACAACAAACACACAACTATCAACAATCAAACCTACAAAAACAAAAATGAACTAAGCAAACAACCAGAACATGAACAGAATCACAGAAATGGAGATCATATAGAGGGTTATTAGCAGGGAGGGGGGAAGGGGTGAATGAGGGAAAAGGTACAGGGGATAAGAAACATAAATGGTAGGTACAAAATAAACAGAGGGAGGTTAAGATCAGTATAGGAAATGGAGAAGCCAAAGAACTTATATGTATGCCCCATGGACATGAACTAAGGTGATGGAATGATGGGGGTGGGGGTACAGGGCAGAGTGGAATAAAGGGGAGAAAAAAAGGGACAACTGTAGTAGTATAATCAATAAAATATATTTTTAAAAATCAAAAAATAGAATAAAATTATAATCTCATTTGGGGGGACCTAGATTATATAGCTACATATACAAACAAGGGAATTTACAACAGAATTGTAATAAGCCCTTTCCCCTCCCCCCAAAAAAGAATTAAAAAAGAGAAAGAGGAAAAATTAAGAAAAGAAAGCAAGCACAAATATTTATGAATAGATTAGAGGTTGGATAAATGACATTGTGTTTCAATATATAACATGAAAAAGATGCATTTATATATTTAAGTTAAAATATAAGCAAGTACCCCAGTGAGTAGTGTATATGTAATCTTTTGAAAGTGAAGAAAATGAAGGATAAAAAGAAATGGAGAGAGGGAGAGAAGAGAGGAGGAAGGAGTAAGGAAAGATGAAATGAACAAGGGAGGGAGGGAAGGAACGAGGAAAGAGAGGAGAACCTAAATGTCCACATGAGCTCAGAGAAATACATGAAAGTACACTGAGGAAACAGTTAACACTATTCTAAATTCAAGAAGGGAGAAGCATTAACCAGCCATTTCTTTGTAAACCCGTTTTGTTTTACTCTCTACAGAAAGTTTTTATTATTTTTGTAATGTTTAAGAATTACATGACTCCACTCTAAGAAGACAACCAACCCAATTAAAAATGGGAAAAGGACTTGAACAGACACTTCTCCAAGGAGGACATACAGAATATCCAGAGACACATGAAGAGATGCTCAATATCGCTAGCTATCAGAGAGATGCAAATTAAAACCACAATGAGATACCATTTTACATGGGTCAGGATGGCTATCGTAAACAAAGCAACCAACAACAAATGTTGGAGAGGTTGTGGAGAAAAGGGGTCCTTAGTTCACTGTTGGTGGGATTGCAGACTGGTACAACCATTATGGAAAACAGTATGGAGTTTTCTCAGAAAAATAAAAATCAACCTGCCTTTTGACCCAGCAATTCCACTGCTAGGATTATATCCCAAGTATCATAAAACATCAATTTCAAAGAACCTATGCACCACAATGTTCATAGCAACACAATTTACAATAGCCAAGAGTTGGAAGCAACCTAGGTGCCCATCAGTAAATGAATGGATCAAAAAATTGTGGTACATATACACAATGGAATTCTATGCAGCAGAGAGAAAGAAGGAGCTACTACCCTTTGCAACAACATGGATGGAACTGGAAAGCATTATGCTGAGTGAAATAGGCCAGGTGTTGAAAGACAAATACCATATGATCTCACCTTTAACAGGAAGTTAAACAATAAAACAAACAAGCAAACAGAATAAAAACAAAGACACTGAAATAGAGAACAAGTGGGCAGCGACCAGAGGGGAGAGGGAAGGGAATTTAAGGGGAAAAATGGGGAGGGATTTTGAGGAGCAAGTATGAAAGACACAGGGATGAGGACTGAGGGGGGGGGAATGGGAGGGAGGTGGGGAGACGGGGTGGGGGGGGGCTGGGATGGGAGAAATAGACAAAAAAATGTACTTGAAAAAATAACTAAATAAAATTTTTAAATAAATAAATAAAAAGAATTAAAAAAGAACACCAAGTCAAAAGCAAACAATAAAAACTTTCATCTGAGCTTTGACCAGTGTGGCTAAGTTGGTTGGAGCATTGTCCCATAACCTAAAGTTTGAGGGTTTGAGTCCCAGTCAGGGCACATACTTCAGTTGTGGGTTTGATATCCAGTCTGGACATGTATGTTCCTGGTCCGCGCATGTATGGGAAGCAACCAATAAATGCTTCTCTGTTGCACGGATGTTTCTCTCTCCCCCTTTCTCTCTCTCAAAAAAGCAATGAAAAAATGTCCTTGGATGAGGATAAAATTTCACCCGAGTTTCCTTGACTCCAACTGCCCAGATATGAGAAAGGATGTGACTATTTTATATTTATGCGTATCTTTCACAGGTACACATTAAGATAAAACAATAACAACCAAACAGGCTATTGAGTTGGAACATCAGAAAAAAATATTTCCTTCTGAGGCAATTAGTTTCTATTCATTGAATATCTAGTTTTAAATAAAGGGTGTATATAATGTTGATATTTATACCATTCTTCACTGTTGACAAAGAGCTTTCACATGCACCATTTAATTTAATCCTTAGAGCATAAACCTCAGGATTACTCAGACAAAGAAGTTAAGTACCTATGAACATCCCCCAGTTCTACCATCAATAACAATTAAACTTTGATTTGAATTGATTAGATGGAGAAGAATGCAGTGCTGTTTCTACTGAGGAGCAAATATATTTCTTATAGGAATTCTGTGTGAAGAATGCATTTGTGCAATATACAAAGCCACTAAAAGTATTAAATTCTATAAATAACACAAGTAATAATAACACATGATTCATGCTTGGTATAAGTAACCTACTAAAAACAAGTGTTTTCAGTTGTTCTGTAGGCTTTATAAATGATGGTAATTAAAGTCTTGGGCTTATAAGGCAAATGTCATCAGTTTACTGAATTACAACTCTTCTCTTTGGTATAAAGGACATTTTTGGATTCAGGGCTCCAGAGTTAATAGATTGCTCTAGGCTTTTGTAGTTTACTTTTCCAATTATGGTAGACTCAGGAAAAACAAAACATTTTAGATAGGAAAATGGCAATAGAATGGTTGGTTCTGTTAGGACATACATCATTTTAGTTCTTATTTTTTGGGTAACGACAGAAATGTGCATTATAAGGCTTTCCACTCTATTGATAAGTCTTGCCTCATGCTTGCAATAATTGAAATGTGTTGATGGGTAGCCTGGGTGACTGTGATAATGTTATTTTGTTGCCAGTGAAAGAGAAGCCAAAAGGAACCTTAGGTGCTAGTTATTCAGTGATGGTGGGAATAAAACCCCATCTTCCTGACTCGACTCACACTTCCCTGTGTTTCCTCTAATTAAAACATTCAACTTGGTTTTCTTCATGGCTTTATTTCCAGTACGCAGCACAGAGCCTGGCTTGAAACAGATATTCCATAAACAAATGTTGAACAAAGAGTGTGTGTGGGGGGGCAACTTTCCTCACAAGTCCCCCTGTGTGCCACAGATGAGAGTAAACATGACAGAGACATGATGTGATCTGCTTGAGGAGGAGAGGGGGCCAGTTTCCCAGAGGAAAAAGGCCTTGAGACCCTTCCTCCAGGGGCTTTTATTGGGTTGTAATACACAGGAATACAGGGCAGCAAGGATCAAACAGTAGATACCATTTCAAAGAAATCTGAGGGCTTAGTTTGAGTCAGAGTCTGTCAGGAACAGAGTTTTAGGGTTTCCTGCTCGAACCCTTAACATATGAATGAAAGCACTTTTAGTAGAGCAGATTTCATAGGTTTATCAGGAAGTCTTTGTGATGCCAGATTTTTCCCCAGGACACTCTCTAGCAAGACAAGGAGCTGCACCCCTCCCCAACAGGCATTCAGGCTTAAGGGGATTAGAGCCAGGAAGCACTTCTCCCAGAGTATGTGGGGACTCAGACTTTATCAAAGTTGGGACGAGAGCCCATTGCTCCCTCTTTGTTGCAGCCCCCAAGTCCTTCCATGAAGGCCTCCCAAGTGATCTTGTCTGGCCTAGGTTGCCCCTCCTCTGAGGGGTCTTACCGGTCCAACCATACTTTGGGGACAGGGAGGAAACTGAGGCAGCATTTGCTACCAGAGACAAGCTTTGTCTCCTGCAGCTCGAATTCCAGAGGTAGTCACTCACTCGTCGCTAAGCCACAGCGGGTAGAGAGTTACAATTCCTAGAACCAGGCAGAGTGGTCCACAACAAGAGTGAACTGAACACTAGGATGCCCTGGCCAGAAACGTCTGTCCAGTCACCTCTCCTGAGCTCTGATGTCACGTGTAGAACACTGTGATGTTGAGAGGTGACGGCCATGTGGAGCAAACAGTAACTCAAGTAGGTCTTGTCGAAGTTTACTGACATTCCAAACCATGGTATCTTTGTTTTTTTTAATTATATGTACATGTCAAACATCTTTAAGTAGAAATTACATAACTTGGGGAATTGGAGGTTATAAAAATCCCCTTGGTGTTCCCTCCTTTCAATTTAAATCATTTCCAAATCATATTCACCACCATCTGATTGTCAGAAGGAAAGTTGATGATGAATTTCCGTGGTTGAATTTTCAAGTTGAGTGTTTCGGTGACACAGATCAGGAAGATGGGGTCAAACTTTTAACTGTGCTTCTGACTCATTCATGGATTTACAGCAGCAGTTCTCAAAGCGTGGTCCACAGACCAGCAGCATCAGCATCACCCGCGAACTTGACAGGAATGCACATGGTCATGTCCTAGTTCTGACTTACAGAATCATAAATTTGTAAGAAAATACAACTCAGAGCACCTAGAGTTTGGTAACCTCTAGGTAACTGGTGGCTTACAGTATGCCACCAGTCATCTCTTTACATTGTCTCATCAGGAAGGTGTGTTTCCTGCTGTCCCAATCTACCCTGCTGCATGCACTGCATGTTTGCATCCCCCTGAATTCATAGGTTGAAGCCATAACCTCTGACGTGATGGTATTTAGAGGTGTGGTTTCAGGGGGTAATGAGGTTCAGTGAAATTACAGAAGTGGTGCTCCCACAATGGGATAAATGTTCTTATCGGATGAGGAAGAGACCAGAGCACTCTCTCTACTGTGTGAGGACACAGCAAGGAGGGACGCTTTGGCACGCAAGGAAGCAGGTTTTCACCAGGAACCAAACTGGCCAGCACTTCGATCTTGGACTTTCAGCCTCAAGAAGTATGAGAAATTTCTGTCTTTTAGGCAGCCCAGTCTATGCTTTGTTGTTATGGCAACCCGACCTAAGACATTATCTTAAAAATCAACTTAAGTATGTTTACAAGATTCTGATGGCAACTTATCAAAAAGTATCTTTAATATACATACCAAGATGGCTCTACTGGTTCTACTGTACCAGTTCCATGTGGCATATATTTTAGGTCTTCTCCCCTTTTGCCCCTGCCCTCCCAGCCAGAGCATTGATGGGTTATCTGCATTGGGTTTAACTATCTTTGTTTTCTTCGTCATTTAAACCAATGACCAATAGCATATATCTTCAGATCCACTGAGCAAGTATAGAGAGGAAGTTTTGAATTAAGCAAAAACACTTCCAGGATGGCAGGAGACCCTAGACCATGGTTTCAGCAGCTCTCTCTCTCAATCTGCAGGGCTAAAGAGTCTCTGATGTATACTGTGGTCAGACTTGCACAAGCACTTCAGATAAAAAAAGAGCTCTCTCCTTCCAGTTATTTATACTCTAATGGCATTTAGATGGAGCTAGGAACAGGCCTGGAAATGCCAACTATTTGGGGTGTATACTATGATTCAGCAATATTTATAGACTTGCTATGTGATTGTGGGCAAGAAATACTTTTAAAAAGATGTAAAACAACAGTGAGATTTGACACATCCTTAGAAAGGCCAAAATCTAGAACATCGACAATATCAAATGCTGATGAGGATGTGGAACAACATGAAATCTCATTCATTGCTGGTGAATGTGAAATGGTACAGCCACTTGGGAAGACAGTTTGGTGGTGTCTTGCAAAACTAAATGCACTCTTACCATATGTTCCAGAAATCTTACTCCCTGCTATTTACCCAAAGGAGTTAAAAACTTATGTCCACACATAGCAGCTTTATTCATAATTACCAAAACTCAGAAACAACCAAGATATCCTTCAGTGGATGAATGGATAAACTGTGGTACATCAAAGAACAAAATATTATTCAGTGCTTTTAAAAAATGAGCTATGAAAAGACAAGAAATAACCTCAAATGTATATTAGTAAGTGAAAGAAACCAATCTAGAAAGTGTTTATGAGATAATAGAAAAATATATATATATATTTGTTTCTGCTCCCAGTTTCTGTAAAAGAGCTCCTAATATTTTCATAATTTCCTTAGTGATCAAAGCACTAGGAACATCTTTTGTTTTAATAAGGCAACTAGGGATGGGCTCCTGGATGGAAGCTAGTCACCAGAAAGACCATGACATGGTTAGAAGCTTGAAATTTTCATCCTTACCCCTAAGGGGATGAAAACATCCTCCAGAGAGGGGAGAAGGGCTAGAAATGCAGTTTGTAACTGATTATGTCCACATAAGGAGGCCTCCATAAAATCCCAAAAGGATGGGATTCTGAGAGCTTTCAGCTGGCAAACACATCTATTTCTTGGAGAGTGACACATCCCAGCTCCATGGGGACAGAAGTTCCTGGGCTCAGGACCCTTCAAACCTCACCCTACGTGTCTCTTTTTCTAGATGTTTAACTGTATCTTTTATCATATACTTTAGTAGACAGTTAAGCACAAGTAACATTTTGTGAGACATGACAGCAAATTAATCAAACCTGAGGAGGAGTTTATTGGAACTTTCTATCTACACCCATTGGTCAGAAGCACAGATGCTAACCAGAGCTTGCAACTGGTGTCCGAGGTGGGGGACGGGGCATTCTTGTGGGACTGAACCCTTACCTGTGAGATCTGATGCAATCTCCCAGTAGAATTAGGTTATAGGACACCCAGGTGCTGTCAGAGATTTGCTCGTTGTTGTGGGGGGAAACCTTCACACCTTCGGTGGCCAGCAGTGTCAAAAATGAAGTGATCTGTGTGAAGTAGTAAAGAAGACACACCAGGAAGAAACACATAGTAGGGATCAACTAGGTTTTTCGCACATGAGAAAGAAAAAGCTGAGTTTTTCTATTATAGCTGCATATTGTAAGATTCCAACTCTATGACATTCCAGAAAAGACAAAACCATGAAGACCATAACAAGATCAGTGGCTGCCAGGGGTTAGAGGGAAGAAATGAATAGCTGGAGCACAGAGGATTTTTAGGGAAGGAGAACTCGGTATGATACTACAATGGTAGATACATGTCATTATGTACTTGTCTGAACATGAAAGTGAACCCTGACGTAAACTGTGGACTTTGGATGATGATGATTTGTCAGTGTAGGTTCATTATCATTATGAATGTACCTCTGTTTGGGGATGTTGATAATGGGGGAGGTATTGGGGGGCAGCAATTTAAATTCCTGTACCTTCCTTTCATTGTTGCAGTAAACCTAAAACTGCTCTAAGAAAATAAAGTCCTAATAAACTTTTTTAAAAATGCATCTTATAGTTTAGAAAGTAATAACTGCTCAAAAAGCAAAAGGAAGCCAATTTGAGCAACAAGATAAATGAAGTAGCATTAGATTATAACCCAAAGTATAACAAAATCCATGAGTCTACACTGATAAAAATATATTACCAAACATATAAAGGGACACAAGAAAAAAATCCTCCATACAGAAGAATTCCAAATTATTAATGGGGCTGCTCCTCCGTATAAAAGGTGGACTGTTCTAGGTGACTTGCTTCCTGGAAAAGGAGTAGAGTATTGAAAAATGAAAAAAGGAAATTTACAGGGAATCAAGCTGGCAAACCCTACCTTGGCAGGTAGGTGAAGTCAATATCATCAGTGATAAGTTATTTTAATAGCATGTACCTTGATATGATGTAATGAGAATGGTTATCTATATCCCCAGTCTAATCATAGAGAAAATATCAAACAAATCGAAACTAAGGGACATTCTACAAAACACTTCACCAATACTGCTTCAAACTCTCAAGGTCACTGGGAACAAGAGAAGTCTGAGACCTGGTGACTGACCAGAAGAGACTAAGGAGACATGATAACTCAATGCAACATGGTATCCTGGATCGAATCCTGGCACAGAAGAATCCCATTGAGGAAAACTGGTGAAATCCAAATAAAGCGCGGCAGACAGTTAATAACAATGTGCCAATGTTGGTTCTTTAGTTGTGGCAAATATACCACACTAATGTAAGACGTTAACAATAGAGAAAACTGGGCAAAGGGTATATGGGAGCTCTCTGTACTATCTCTGAATTTTTTTTATAAATTTGAAAGTATTCCAAAAATTTTTAAATCTTATTAAAAGCCACAGATGTTAGCATTAACACCCAATCTGATCCCACTCCCTCACTGGTGAAGATAAGGAAAGTGGGACCCAGACACCTCGCCAAGTTTGCACGTTCATGATTTCATAACTGTGCACACATTTCATTCTACACAAGGGGCCTACTTCCCCAAACTCTCTGCTGCACAGAATAAATAACATAAAGCATGTTAAAGAGTTTTTAGGTCTTAAGAATATAGCTTATTATTGTTAGTTTTATACACTTTAAGGAAAATTGATGTGCAAAATTATTATACAGATATGTCAGGGAATAGTAATCCACTTGTTAAATGTTTTTGGTCTGTTTCATAAAAAAATTCATCCAAGTTCCTATAATAGCAAGATTCTGTACTGAACTAGTAAATTATTTACCTACTTTTCCAGATGCAGTTCCTTTTTACAAGTAATTTATGCCTAGAATATTGCTCAAGAACAAGTTGTTTCTAGATTTAGATTTCAAATCTATTTCTCTTTTAAATATTTGTTACTTACAGTAAGCAAGGTATCTGAAATATTTTACTATATTAAAACTTCAAACAAATAGACATTCTTAATGGGGAAATGTCTTCATATTTTACTCACTAATCTTTTGTTTTCTGCATAATGAAAATCTCCAAGATTTACACTTCTTAGTAAAACATCATCTCTACCCCAAATTCTTAGTCTAAGCTGTAGAAAATTAGACTACAGAGAATTGTTGTGTCAACATTATCAATCAAGACCTTTAATTATATATGTTGGTAAAATCCAGGATCTAAACTCATCTGAGAAATAGCAAATTTAAGTTGATTCCCTTTAGAAAAAGAATAAAACGTGGTACTCATAGGGTCATTTTATATAAGACGATCAACGTATTTAGCTGATATCACTTTTTAAATCACTTCACCTTCCCTCTGGTGGTTGGAAAGGAACTTTTATCATTGCAGTCATTAAGCAATTCCATTGGACTTTAGTGTTTGTGGCAAAATGTAACCCAGGACAGCAGATTTCCTAGTCAGCTGTTGGATTGTTTTTAGCATTCTACTTCTTCCTGGGGATCCTCCTGTAAAAAAAGCACAATTCATCGACTGCTCACACCAGCACCACATGTTCACAGCTTTTGCAAGTGCATGTGATCTTTTCTTGAATTCGGTGAATCAGGTCTGTGAAAAGACACACATAAGAGAGAAGACATCCTGCAAACAAGACATCAGACAAGAACAGGTCTGTTCAACACACCTTTGACTAAGACCCGCTACATGGGGATGCCCATTCTGTTTTTATCAGGTGATTATTTCAAAGAAAGTATCCTTTGGATTGAAACAAAATGTTCTTTCTTTCTTATTATTTTTAATTTATTTTTTCTACCTCTATCCACCCTCTCCGTTCTTACCCCCACAATCACTACACTGTTGTCAATGTCCACTATTGCTTTTAATTTTTTGCTCAGTCCTTCCACCCCTTAAACTCCACCCAGAGCTGCCAGCCTGCTCTCTATTTAAGAGTCTGTCTCTATTTTGCTTGTTAGTTCAGTTTGTTCATTAGATCCCACATGTTAATGAAATACATGTATATTTGTCTTTCTCTGTTGGGCTTATTTCACTTAGCATAACATTCTCCAGGTACATCCACACTGTTGCAAAAGGTAAAATTTTCTTTTTTTACAGCCAAGTAGTATTCCATTGTGTAAATGTACCATAATTGCTTTATCCACTCATCTGCTAATGGACACTTGGGCTGCTTCCAAATCCTGGCTATTGTAAGTAACCTATGATAAACATAGGGATGCTTATATTCTTTCAAATTAGTGTTCTGGGATTCTTCTGATAAATTCCCAGAAGAGGAATCACTGGGAAATAAGGCAGTTCCATTTTTAACTTTTTGAGGTATTTCCATACTGCTTTCCACAGTGGCTGTACCAATCTGCATTCCCACTAATGATGCAAAACATTTCCTCATTTTCCAAATCCTTACCAGTACTGGTTGTTTGTTCATGTATTGACAATAGCCATTCTGATGAGTATGAGGTGATATCTCATTGTGGTTTTAATTTGCATCTCTGATAATTAATGACATTGAGCATCTTTTCATATGTCTACTGGTCATTTCTATGTCATCTTTGGAGAAGTGCCTATTCAGGTCTTTTGCCCATTTTTTTTTTAAGATTTTATTTGTTTATCTTCAGAGGGGAAGGGAAGGAGAGAGGGAGAGAAATGTCAATGTATGGTTGTGCGTTCCCTGCTGGGAACTGGCCTACAACCCAGGCATGTGCCCTGACTGGGAATTGAACTGCAGTTGTGTGGTTTGCAGGCACATGCTAAGTCCACTGAGCTACACCAGCCAGGGCTGCCCATTTTTTAATTGGGTTGTTTGTTTTATTGGTTTTGAGCTTTATAAGTTCTTTTGACATTTTGGATATTAACCCCTTATCAGATGTATCAGTGAATATGTTTTCCCATTCAGTGTGTTGTGTTATTATTTTGTTGATGGTTTCATTTTCTGTGCAAAAACTTTTTAGTTTGATGTAGTCCCATTTGTTTATTTTTTTCTTGTGTTTCCCTTGCCTGAGGAGATATATCAGATAAAATATTTCTACAATGTCTAAGATTTTACTCCTATGTATTCTACTAGGGTTTTTATGGTTTGGGGTCTAATATTTAAGTATTTAATCTATTTTAAATTTATTCTTGTCTGTGGTGTAAGCAATGATCTAGTTTTATTTTACTTCATACATCTGTCCAATTTTCCCAACACCATTTATTGAATAAATTCTCTTTAGCCCATTGTATGTGCTTGCTTCCTCTGTCAAATATTAATTGACTATAAAAGTGTGGGTTTATTTCTGGGCTCTCTATTCTGTTCCAATGATTTATATGTGTTTTTATGCCAGTACCATTCTGTTTTGATTACTATGGTCTTATAATATAGTTTGATAATAGGTAGCTGATTCCTCCAACTTTGTTCTTCTTTTCAGGATCACTCTTACTAAGAAGGGTCTTTTGTGGATCCAAATAAATTTTGAAATGTTTGTTCTAGTTCTGTAAAATAAGACATTGGTATTTTGAGAGGAACTGCATTAAATCTGTAGATTGCTTTGGGTAGTGTGGGTATTTTAATGATATTAATACTTCTACTCCATAAACATGGTATGTGCTTCCACTTATTTGTATCTTCTTCAGTTTCTTTCTTCACTGTCTTATAATTTTCTGACTATGGGTCTTTTACAGCCTTGGTTCGATTTATTCCTAGGTATATTATTCTTTCTGAAGCAATTGTGAATGGGATTGTTTTCTTAGCTTCCCTTCTTGATAGTTTATTATTGGAATATAAAAATACAACTGATTTCTGGATATTAACTTTGTAGCCTGCTACTTTGCTAAATTCATTTATCAGTTCTAGTAGTTTCTTGGTGGAATCTTTGGGATTTTCTATGTATAGTATCATGTCATCTGCAAATAATGACAGTTTTGGTTTTTCCTTTCCAATTTGGATGCCTTTTATTCCTTCTTCTTGTCTGACTTCATGTCCAGGATTTCTAGGACCATGCTGAGTAAGAGAGGTGAAAGTGGTCATCCCTGTTTTCTCCTGATCTTAAAGGGAATGCTTGTAGTTTTTGCCCATTGAGGATGATGCTGGCAGTGAGTTTGTCAATATAAGGCCTTAATCATGTTTAGATATGTTCCCTCCATTTTCACTTTGCTGAAAGTTTTCTATTATAAATAGGTGTTAGATTTTATCAAATGCTTTTTCTGCATCTATTGATTGTTATTATGTCACTTTTGACCTTCATTTTGTTTTTGTGATGTATAACATTTATAGATTGTGAATATTGACACCAACCTTGCATTCCTGAGATATATCCCACTTGAAAATGGTCTATAATTTTTTGATGTATTGCTGCTTTCAGTTTGCTGGTGGGTTGTTGAAGATTTTAGCATCTACGTTCATCAGGGATATTGGCTTATATTTTCTTTCTTTGTATAGTTTTTATCTATTTTTTTGTATTAGGATAATGCTAGCCTCATAAAATAAGCCTGGGGAGTCCTTCATCCTCTTGTATTTTTTGGAATAGTTTGAGAAAAAGAGGTGTTAGTTCTTGGAATGTTTGGTAAAATTCACCTGTGAAGCCATCCAGCCCAGAGCTTTTGTTTGTTGGGAGTTTTTTTTATTACTGCTTCAATTTTACTATGTGTAATCTGTCTATTCAGATTCTTTGATTCTCCCTGATTTAGTTTTGGATCACTGTATGTTTCTAGGAATTTATCCATTTCATCCAGGCTGTCCAATTTGTTGGCATATAGTTTTTTTGTATTATTTTCTTACAATCCTTTATATTTCTTTGGTGTCAGTTGTTATTTCTCCTTTTTCATCTCTGATTTTATTTATTTGTGTCCTCCCTCTTTTTTTCTTGGTGAGTCTGGTTAAAGCTTTGTCAGTCTTGTTTATCTTTTCAAAGAATCAGCTCTTAGATTTATTGATCCTCTGTATTATTTTTTTAGATTGTATTTTGCCTTTTTTTGCTCTGATCTTATTATTTCCTTCCCTTTACTTATTTGGGCTTTGTTGTTGCTGTTTTAAGTTCCTTTAAGTGTGAAGTTATTGTTTATTTTAGCTTTTTATTATTTTGAGATAGGCCTATAATGCTGTGAATTTCCATCATAGGATTGCTTTCCCAGTGTCCCACAGATTTAGGGCTGTTGTGTTCCCATTCTTATTTATTTCAAAGTGTCTTGAGATTTGTTGCTTAATCTCATTATTGATCCATTCATTGTTTAATTTCATGTTTTTTTAGCATCCTTGTCTTTGTGTACTTTTCAATGTTCTTTTTGTGATTGGAACCTTTAGCTCCCTCCTGAGACATTCCGATCCTAGTCTCTCTCCTCATGCGGCTCTGGTATGCTATGCCTCACTCTTCTGGAATCCAGGGTAAATGGCTGCAAACAAAATTTTGTGCATTGTCCCTTTAAGAGACTTTCTGTGTTTCTAGTTGTCTTTCCCTGGCGGACAGAAACTCCACTGCTTTTCACAGCTAGACATTATTTGGGTTCCTTTCCTGGTTCTGGTGTTCTAAGTTGGGAAATCAAGCTTGGGGTTTAGACCCACACTTCTCTGGGGAAACCCCCATGGCCACTGAAATATCCCTCCTCCAGAACCTCAGCTGCCATCTATGGAGCCCAGCCAGCCTTGTCTTGCCTCTGTACTTCCTATCAGTCTTGATGTGGTAATGTGGTTTCTTCCATAAGTTGTTGGTTATAAGGCTTCACTCCAGCCAGCATTTGGTTGGTTATTCAGGATGATTTTTCTATAATTTACTTGTAATTCCAGTTTGGTCCTGGGAGGAGGTTAGCGTAGCTTCTACCTACTTCTCTACCACCTTGGATTCCTGAATCAAAATGTTTTTTATTGGAGCTTTTACCCTAGTGTTCTAGCTCTTTTTTTTTCAAATTAAGAAAGGCAAGGATGACAACATAATTACATCAATTTTACAAAAGAGAAAATACCTTAGGGAAATCACAAAGCTGGTAATGGGTAGATAAGGAATCAGTCCAAGCCTGTTTGCTCCAAAGGCATTAATTGTAGATACTACACCATTCTAGTTTAACATGACTGTGTCTCACTCTAAAAAAGTGCATCTGTCCAAGAGAATAAGTATGTGCTGAAATCCAACTGGTGCTTCTGATGAGCACTACTTCTGTCAAAAGAAAGGGAAACATTTTTCTAATTTATTCTTCCTGCTCAGGCATAGATCTGAAATACTGTTAGCTTAGAAGTGAAACTGTATCTGATACACACTGAGGTACCAAATAGGGAGATGGCGGCCCCTTTAGCCTGACCCATTTCTCATGATCTTTGAAATCATTTATTCCACTAAAGAATGCCTCAGAATCATCCTTTTAATGATCTGCCTTTTCCCCCAGAGCAATTACAAGGTAACAAGTCTATAGTATCATGATTTCCAATCTCCCAACATCTTTTTTTGAATATTTACT